GATGAGCTGGGCTGTCACCGCTTGGCCGCCGGTGGGGGTTTGGGAGGCCTGCGCGCTACTTCGCTCATCTCCTCTGACAGGTCACTGCTTCGAGACACTTCTGGCGCACCTGCCTCGGCACTTTTGTGTCCTCATTCCGGTTCGTTTTTTTTTCGTGAGCTTTTCCTGGCGCCGTGCACGCTGCTTCTCCCCTTACCAGCAGCCCAAATGCTCACGACGATGAGCTGGGCTGTCACCGCTTGGCCGCCGGTGGGGGGTTTGGGAGGCCGCATCACACACAGACACCCACACACTCCCTCAACTTACACGAACACACACATACGCAGACTCATTTCCACACGGACATAGACACACGCACAGAAACCCACACACTACCTCAACTCACTCGACTTCACACTTCTCACTGCACACTTACCGGATAACTCGCACTCTGACTTCCTACGTGATGAAAAATGCTTTCGGGCCACTCGTCGTCTAGTTTAACTGGGGAGTGCTTATTAATAGGTACTCGGGATGATATAGATTGCCGTTGGCACGCCCTGGGTCATTCGCCCATGCAATGTGTTTTTTTCGTGCTGCGCTAGAATTGATTGACATTCTAGTTTGGCTGTTAGAGATTTAATGTATATCAGTATTGTGCTGTCATTTGCTTGGCTAGTTGCTTCTTCCTGCCTTCACAATGTTTATATTCATTTTGCTACTGTCCTCTTGACATGAGACGGACAGACGCATTGATGTCAGCTGAAGATGCAGTTTCATGTTGCTGGCCCTTGGATTTACACTGATGAAGGAATACAGAATGAGCCCCGCAGCGAAATGTTGTGGGATGCTGATCCTACTGATGGTGAACGTGATTTTGAACTTGTGTTGTATATATATATATATATATTATAGTATCATCATGAGTGTTAGTATATGATGAATTACGATGCATCATGAATCATGAGTATGCATGCTGTATGTTCATTGTTGGTCTTTCCAGTTGAGTCAAAGTGTTGATCCGCCTCGATGTTGCTCATCAGGACTGGCAGCTGAACCTCCGTGGTGGTGTGGGGCGAAAGCCCGACGATGGGTGGAGAAGGTACTTCACACGGAAGCAGGCATCACGGGTTCAGTGTCCGGCGCTGTTCATTTATGTTCTAAGCATGATAAAGAGTATCAATACCACCGTACAACACCTTCTTCTTTTCTGTTGCTGGTATTGCTGCAAGTGAGTCAGTGGTGTTACTATTGTTGCAAGTAAGTCACGGCATAAGAACGAGTTCCTTGTCGCGTGGTTTCAAAGTGATCGCAGTTGTTGTGGTGCACAGTACAGCCTTTTCATTGCGTATGAAACATGATGTTGATTCGCAGCCTTTGAGGCCAGCTTCGATGCGATTGCCCGGAATTGCACCCCGGAGAATGAGGCACCCAGGCTTTGTCTTGCTTTGCACCAGCAAGACTACCGTTTATCATTTATCTATTTTTAGGGCACCTGCTGTGAGGCCTATCGCACCCGCTTGGGAACTCCATTTGACCCCAGCTTCGATCGGCACCAGGGTGCTGCGCCTAGCAGACAGCCCTTTCGTCGCCAAAGCCAAACTTCAAAGTCGCATGAGAAGCGATAGTAGTCGCAAGGAAGCTTGTAGTTGCAAGAGTCACCTACTGCAACAAGCAGATACAACCTTTTGTCTTAGGTGCTGTAAAATGTGCTACCATTCGCGACATGCCGTTGAGTGCCTCAGCCAGCATAAGTGGCATGCTGTCCTATCGTTGCCATTGGGCAGCTTAAAGCAAGTGTAAGTTTTTTGGGGTGCCAATTTCTACTCATCCCAGATTGTGGGTCGGTGAACTGGCGTGACCTAGTAATTGAAATATGTTTTCTCACATCCGCATTCTGACTAGAGATTCTGACTGTAGGTCATTAGTATGGTCAAAGCTGAAAGCAAACTTGTATCATTCCAGACTTTATATGATCGTCTCAGCAAGTGACTGGAACTGCATCAGTAAATGTATGTTTTTCCTCACCCCTTTCTAGGACAAATATATAATGAACATATTGCTCGTACCCAATCAAGGTTTGTCCATGTTTTTGGAGCATCATACGCATGATCACTTCTTGCGAAATGGTCGTGGCAGAGCGGTCCACAAGCAACATTGAAGAAGATACAGCGCTACAATTCAAAAAATGATGTGCAGAGTGGCACTATGCAAATCTAGAATCTAGAAGTCGATCAGTGGTGATGATGAGGTCGGTCAGGATGCAAACATCTTGGGTTGTTCAATCATGGGGAGCTGTGACTCAGCACCCAAAGATTCACAGCATAGATCTGTTGCATACCCCATGATTGATAGACCACTGGCCAGGATGTTTGCATGCTGAGCCTGCAGATGTTTGCAGCCAGGTTTTGAAAGGGCCAAAGGTTGCGAAGGAGCACAGGCGCAATCCGAAAACATAATGACCAGGGCTCTACAGACTGTTCCGTTGTTGCAAACGATAGCGTTTGTGGGAGGCTGGTCAGTGGCAGCACATCTTCCAAGCACGACCTGCTGTGATTTGGATGCAGATTGAGACATTGAGAAGGGTCTCAGCTGCGAAGAATCAGAACCACTGAGAGGATGTATATATTGTATAATTATATATGTTGTGTTATGTTATGTTATATTATATTATTTTTTTTGTGTGTCTATTATATATATATATATTACTATAGATAAATTGTGAAGCTGGAGATGTGCAATGCAAGGAGATATATAATATGACCCTGATGAGGAGAGAATATATAATCTTGGAAATGTTTGTCAATTGTTACATATATCACATTGTTTTCAAGGTGATGGTTGATTACATATACAAGTGATTCAGATCATATCCTTGTAATCATGCACCGACGCCTTGTGACCTTGACCACCCGTCCGCTAAAGTTAGCTTTGCAGCCACAGCATAGTTTATGATCGAACCCTTGAAGGATGATCACCTGGCTAAGCATGTTTACTGTACTGTATAGTGTTCTATCGCTTGGGCTGCCAATAGGAAAAAAGACAACGATTCTTAAGCAATGGCATTCCTATTTTTTCAGCTCCGTCAGTGTTGAGCTCTTTGAGGCTACACGACCACAGCTGAAGCATCTCACCAGCCTGCGAGAGATGCCAGGCAAGTGAATTCATTATTGTAAGGTCGTTTCATAAGTTTTGCAACGTAGCTGAATTCTGTTGCATATTTGAGCCGTTTGTAAATCTAGAATTTGATTTTGGCAATTGGCAATCTGGAATGATTTTTCCATATTGAGTTGCCAAGGCCAACATCCTGGAATGACGATCTCTGACAACCGAAGCGACACATGTTGGGTATGAGACCCAACCTGCAGTTGTGGGATTGAGCAATCGTCAAGGGCTGCGGCAGCTTTGCGACTGGCCCAAGGATCCTTAGCATTGTCAAGACAGTCAGGTTCCATGAAGTGTTGTAGCCGTGGCACCTACAAACTTGCACCCTCCACAACCCTCAAGCCCTCAATATGAGACAGTACTTCGGAATCAATGTTGAAAGATGTTGAAAGATAATTTTTTGGCAAAGCGCTTGCGCTTGCCCTAGCCCTTGCGCTTGCTGTGTGTCTTTATTTGTTTCCAAGGTCGAGATGATGGGAAAGAAGAGATGGGAGCAGTTTAGGCGAGACGAACTCAGAATTCGGGGAGGCTCCGTTGGAGACGATGAGCGCAGCGAAGCGCAGCGGATTTTCGCCAGGCCGGAGAATCCGTTGGAGAGGCACCCACGTGAGGGTGGTGACGTGAAGCTGCACCACCTCTACTACTTGAAGGTGACGCGGCCGTGGTCATAAAGACCGAGAAACAGCCGGTTGGACATTATTATTGCTTGGAAATGGAGAGTAAGATAAGGAAAGATAAGGAAAGCAAAAATTGGACAAAGCCATCAAAATTAATGCATTCAACCCGTCGTCGGCCTGTCAGCCTATCAAAAAGCATTCAGAAAGGGTTCCTCTTGGCTGTGTGTTTGGTTGTGAGGTGCGCCCAGAGCCAGATGATGAGGCCCGGGTCTTGCGCACCACCAAGACGCCAAGACTTGTCCCAAAGGCCAAGTCCAAGACCAAGGCCAGGCAGTCGCCTTCTTCAGTCGATTTGTGTTTATATGTTTTATTTCCTAGGAATGCCTTTGGTCAACTCAGGGATTTGCAGCATACAATGTTTTTTGTCCAAGCCTGCTCTTTGAGTGAAATGATTGATTCATTTATATTCATGTCAGCATCCTCAAAGCCCATCTCACGACGGTCCATGCCAGGCAAATCAGTGAGTCTCCGTTTGCACTGACAATAAAGCTGCACACGGTGATGCAGAAGGATGCAGAAGCGTTCAAATCATGAGACAGTGGCGGGTCGTCGAGCATATACAAGGGGCTGTTTAATGTCGCTGCTTGGTCGCTACACTTCTGACTGATTGCATTATGTCAATTTGTTGACATTGGTTGATTTAGATTGACTCAGGTGGATTTAGAGAGCTGAATGATACTACTTTCATCCATATGTACTTTCTTCAATGAACTGCTCCTCCAAATCGCTCGATATTTTGGCAATGCCAGAGGCACGCCGTGTAGGGTAATGTAGGTTTTTCCTCTCGGATAATTTTGAGAATTGAAGAGCTGGCCATGTCATTGTCCCTTCATGGCTTTGGATGCTTATTTGTTTTTTTTTGCTTTGTTCTGATATCCAGTCAAGCTTGTCCGAAACATGAATCCATTCATGGCCGGCCATCCCAAAGATGCGGTCTATCAACTGAACCAGTGATCGAACCCGATCAGTTTCACTCCAGCGAAAACCGCTGGGGGCACCAGATCCTTGAAGGACTGGGCTCAAAATAGTTCAGCAACGTTCAGCAGGTGGTTGGAGCAACACACCTGCATGGCCTTGCCATGACACTCGGTATACTTTGGTCGGTGTCAAGTTTCAACATCTACAGCTCGTGGACGGATGCTGTCCATTCGCTTAAGCGACCGAATGTTCCTTTTCAGTCTCAGAGGAAGGCACGAGACTGCCGTCAGGTACAGGCGCCGCACCTTTACTTGGCAGGGAGAGGCAGGGCGCCACGGCTCGCCTTTGGTAAGCGAGAATTGAGAGAGTACTCAGGTTTTTGCAAAAAAAATGGTAAATCCATGGTGAGGTTTTAGTTTGTGATGTCAACTTGCAAAGTGGCAAGCCTTGCCGTGTCATGACCCAGATCGCCAGAACACACTTGTTGGAGGCTGATATTGGCAGAAGAAGCGGACAGAGCAGACTTGCAGCCACACATAAGCTGCCCCAGTGAGTGATTTGCTCGTCTAATCATGCCTTGCTACCCCAGCTTGTGAACAGGTTCGAGTGATCCGCGAGGGGTTCGAGGTGCGATGTTGATGAGCTTGGATGGTGCATGCAGTTCTTGTTGCAAGTCAAACATGGTTTAGGGATGTTTAGGGTTTGGATGCCCAGCTCAGTACGTAGCCGAAGTTTTAGTTTTGGTTGAGCTTTCAATCTACAAACCAGACGAAGAAGGGTGGTTGCGAAGCACCACAAGCATATTTTGCGTCGATGGAAGAGATATCACCTGCTCCTTTGAGAAGAGAATCATTATTTTGAGCCTACAGTATCAATATGGCCTCCTAAAGGTACATTCCAAACTGGCATTTGATGCGATGTCTTTTCCTGATCTCTCAACGTGCTCCTGATCGATGTCAGGTTTTTGTCATTCGCACCAAGAGCGTATTGATGGCTAGAACCTCAATGTGTGCATTGCCTTTGAACACCAAAGTGTTCACCGAAGTGAGCGCACTGACAGAGCCTTGAATCAGATGGGTTCCATATATGGAACCCCAATGGGATGTGCCGTTTTGAGTTCGACCGTCCCAAGCTGCTTGAGGTTCGCATGTATCCTTCTCGCTTCCCTCGCAGACAGCTCAAGCGGTCAAGCGAGTTTGATTGCCGATGTTCTTCAGTCCAACAGTGCAAGCTTCTTCATTTAGCGAAATGGTCGATGTGGTGCCCTTGTCTCAGGCCGCGACCTTCCAGATGTCGCTTTGCTTTTCAGTGACAGTCTCAATAAAGAGGTGCGCCACAGTACATTGCAAGTTGTTTAAGAGGTTTAGTTCCCACAGTACTGGCTTTCTATTTGGGAATTTAGACTCACTTGCCGCAAAAGTTCATGGTCAGTGACAGTGATGAAGGCCTTTTCAATCACGCTGCGGCAAGTGCCGCTTTCATGGAATGGTTGCCAGCAAGACCCTTTGGACGTTTGGCCTTAGTGTGAGTAGTGCTGGAACACAGGGTGTCAATAGTTTCACAACTCGATGTTGATCCCCAGTACCCTAGTATGCTGTGAATCTGGATGTTTGCTCCGCACAGAGTCTAGGCAGATTTTGATGATTTGTTCAACCTTCGAGTCTTTCATCAATACTTACCTGCAGATTGCGGAGCTCTCACCTGGCGACTGGGTGGAATTCGAGGCACAAACCGGAAAGAAGAACTTGGCCAAAACGTTGTGATGAAGAAACAAGATGTGGAGATTGGCGAGAAATCATGCGACGCAAAGGTATGTGAAGAAGTTGAGCGTTTTACTAGTCAGTGGGTAGTTGCTGTATATCACTGTATAGTCTCGGAATCAGTGCGGAAAATCAAGTCGTGGATTTTCCAATGTGCAATTGCCCAGGCGCTTTGCAATAGAACCTTCAGCACGACCATTAATACTGGAATGGAAAGCCAATGTTTTTGGACAAGTTGCTTTTGGACGTAGCCTGTTTGTTCAACAGTAAGTGAGTGAGTGAGGGAGGGAGCGAGCAAGCGAGCAAGCAAGCTGCAAAGGGGAACAGAGCGGCAAAAGCACAATACAATTACTGTATAGTACTGTCATACAAGTGTACAAATGACAAGCAAAGGTAAGATCAAAAGAGACACACTCACAAAGTAGCACAATGAGCAGAGGCATCCAAACGAAGAGGACACGAGCATTTGAACCATTGGAAGTACGGTACAGCTGCCATGGCCTTGTTTATTTTGTTTCTAAAAGATTCCTTACCAGCATAAACATTCAGCAGCAATGCCCAACAAAAGACACGCGTTTCTTTCTGGACAACAGATTCCTGGATTGATTCTGGACTTCAATGTTGGCTTTGGACGGTGAATACTATGAACACAGAGCAGTGGTCGCACCACTTGGCACGTCTTTCGCGAGGCTACTATGACCTTGCACGGCTATAGAGGCGACCCAGAGGCCTTTCCAGAGAATTGAACACTTGAGAAATGCAGGAAATGCAGCCACCAAAAATGACAAGCAGACTGCCAAAATGACATGTTTTGTTTGTTACCTAAGTCTTGAATAGTTTTGACGCGAACAATGGCCATCTCTACGGACCTCCTTGAGGCAAGGATTAATCATGATGAATCCTATTTAGACAATCCACAGGAGCCGAACCATCCTTAATACTGTGTTACTGGCATAAGATGTTTAAAATAGTCACACGTCTTCAACACTTCAGGGTTGCAAGGAATTGATGTCCATGCATGCATCCATGCATCCATACATACATGCATACATTCATTCATGGGTATACACCTACCAAACCAAACACTTGGCATCCAGGCATCCATCCATCCATCCATCCATCCATCCATGGGTATACAGTTACCAAACCAAACACTTGGCTTTCGTAAGTGAGCCAAGCACTCCGGCTCTCATGCCATTTTCCAACTGATGGCAAGCTGTTCCTCTCTCGTGCCAGCTCATGACACTTTGGCACATCCAGAAAGTGGAGCGGCCGGTACCTTTGTCCAGCTCTGCAGGCCCGGGCGGACGGTGATGTATGGAGTCTCATCTACCGTCCAATGGTGTTTGAGAAGCGATAGTGACAAGAGAAGAGGCAAGAGCCACAAGGTGACCAATATTGCGGCATGTTAGCATGTTGCACAATCTTGTTTCGACCAGACGAGGATGTCAACACAACACAGAATGTAGCAAGGTTGGCCGATGGATTGTGCCGGGCGAGTGAATACACATGAACTACCAGAGATCGATAAACTTCAATCTGTGCTGTTGGCTTGATTCCCTTGATGTTCCCTTGCAGGACACTCACACAAATCATTGGAGGCTGGGGATGACATCTCGTAAATCTGCCTAATAGCGCGAGAAGAGAGGTCAGCGGCTGCAGGAAAGAACAAGTTGGGCCAACAGTTCAGCGGTTTACAACATTTCTATATAAAACAGCATATTATGATATTTTGGAATTGCACGAATTTATAAAATATATTATATACATTGAAATTATGGTTACTGTATTGCAATGGGTATTTTCTAGGTGCATGTTGCAGCAGAGAGCAACATACATCACTTGCCCTGCAGGACCCTTCGCATCCCAACCGTCAGCAAAAAGAGGCGCAACATTGAGACATTTGTCCAGTGCTGAGGTGCAAAAAACTGCTCACCAGCTGCTAGATGGGAGACTTTGCATCGAACGAGTCCTTGATACAAAACTCATACTCATAAACAGACTGTCAAACAAACACATGTGTTTTCAACTTTCAAGAGGAACAAAGGGTGGCACGAGACAGTTGAGAAGCTCATGATATTCAAAAAACCGATGAACACAGGGCCGTGCCCTTGTAAGGGGTTGAAGTGAAGACCTCTATGAAAACTGCCTACGACTCCCTATGAGCCATGAGCTGGCATAAATTGGACGGTTCACCCGAGTGATTCACGACAAGATGTGTTCTTGAAGCTGACTTGTGTGTGGAGGCGCCCAAAGTGGTAGAATCTCCTACACTTCCGCCTGTCCACGTGTGGAAGCCCATAAGTCTCCATGTGAAAGCATGAGTGCTGGACAATGCAGACTTGAATGACAAAAGTATCGTTCTGCAGCCCTGCTTATATTCATGTGTGTCATTGGTAGAATGGTAGATGCTTTTTTCTCAGATGCACTTGCAAACGAACACTAAGGTGAAGGAGCCGGAGAAGAGAGAGGACGCATTCGTGATGCATTCACTACATCTGCTCGGATGTGTTCGCATGTTTCAAGGGTATGCAGATGCACAGGTATGAACTTGGTTGGGGCATCATAATATGCCAGGTCAGGTTGACTAGCAAGTGCTTATGTTGTTTGAACAGTCAGGTTGCCAAAATCTTGGTTTTGTGGATGATTAAGCTATATATGTTCGTCCCCAGAGAAATCACGCGATTTGTAGGAGCCAACGAAAGAGCCGGAGGTTCCTGAAAAGGTAGCAATCGCTACAGAGGAGCAGAAGAAAGATGAGCCTGAGGTAAAACCAGCAGAGGCGC